AACCAACACTTGGAAGCACTAACAACGGACAGAACTTAAAACAACACTTAGAAGAACCGACAGTACTTCAAACAACACTTAGAAGAAGCGGACAGTACTTAAAACAACACTTAGAAGAACGGACAGTACTTAAAACAACGCTTAGAAGAACGGGACAGTAACTTAAAACAACACTTAGAAGAACGGACAGTACTTAAAACAACACTTGCAACATAAACATAATACACAGGACACTAACACTCCCACACTTATGACCCAAGAAAGAGGAGGCGATCAAGGCAAGCGCGACCGCCCCGCCTCCCATACACTCTGACCGAGGCGCGTGTACCTGGCCGAGGGGGAGTGGGCGGGGTTGTTTACCCGAGTTATCCATTAACCCTACAACGTGCGGACATCCCGGGGACGGGGATTACTAAAAGGGGGAGCGGGATTCCGGGAGAGATTGGCTGTGTGCGCTTCCGCTCATTCGCTCTCACCCTCGCCCCCATCTGCTCTCGTGCTCTCGTCACTGCTCTCATGGCCATGCCTCTCCCTCTGCTCTCTCCTCTCATCTCTCTCGTCCCTCTCCCTCTCTCTCCTTCTCTCGTCGTCTCGTTCTTTCTCTTTCTCTGCTCTTCTCCTCATTCCTCGCTCTCTCTGTTCTCTGTCTCCTTCTTTCTCTCATGGTCTCATCTCGTCTGACCCTCTCTGTCCTTTCTCTGAACTCTCGGTCCTCTCTCTCCTGCTCTCCTCTGAGACGGCCTCTCTCTCTCTCTGACCTCTGTCCTCTCTCTCTTCTCTGACCTGCTCTCGCCTCTCTGACTCTGACCCTCTCTCCCTCTACTGACTCTGTGCGTGCTCTCTCATATATATCTCTCTATCGTCTCCTCTATCGTATCTCTCTCTGCTCTCGTCTCTCTGCTCTGACACTGTGTGTGTATGAGACCAGAGAGAGGAGAGAGAGAGAGAGAGAGAGAGAGAGAGAGAGAGAGAGAGAGAGAGAGAGAGAGAGAGAGAGAGAGAGAGAGAGAGAGAGCAGAGAGTGAGTGGTGCGTGCGGTGCGTGTCCGCGTGTTGCGTCGTGCACAGCACCGCCGCGTATTCCTCTCCTTTGCCTAAGCCTCAAAATACCTCCGGAGCCGCGAGAGGCGCAGCACAAACCTCGACGGGGACGCGATCCCACTCACCTGGGATTTTTCAATGGCGGAAACTGACAAGAGCTCTAATTCACCACCGCGATCTTCCTCTTACCTTCCCGCCCTCCCTATCCTCCACCACCAACAACTCCTCTTCCTCCTCCTCGCTCGCTCCTCCCCTCATTTCTGAGGCCAGCCAATCCTCCGCAGCTTTCCTCCATCTTTGCGTCCTCCCAACCTATCTCTCCATGCTTCCCCGCCCTCCCCCAGTGGTCCCTTCCTCGTCCTTTCTCCCTTCCTATCAATCGCCCTCCTTACCTCAGCCCAACGTCGTCCCAGCCGTGCCAATTACGTCCCAAATCCACCCCTCCTCCTCATCCCCCCATCCTTCTCTCACTCCCCTATCCCACCCGCCCTCCCTCCCTCCCTCCCCCCGTCCTCACTCCTGGTCATCCCCTCCCTTCCCTTCCCCCTCCAGGTCCTCCTCCG